GGTATGGGACTCCAGAGTGTACGCTGGTTTCAATTGAATGCGAAGTTTACACAAACAGAAAGACAGGCGAGAGGCAGAGTGGCAGAGTGGCAGAGAGGAGGCTGTGGTACACACACACACACACACACATCCTTCTGTTGATATGTGAAAACTGTCCTGCGGGTTTTGTGCACATGTTGAATGTGTTGCAAGCTTAAAGCGAAAGATGCTTGTGGGGGCAGGATGATGAAAACTTTAATGAAAAGCGGTGCTGATATGATATGGAGGAACTTTTTGTGACTGGCGGAGAGTTCTTTGAGACCTGCACGCTCATTAGGTGTAGTAGGAAATATGTAGTAGAGATTATATATGGGTAATCTACATGCAGGGAGGGTGCTCATATTTATTCTCATATTACAATCACTAAGGGGAGTTTTCTGTTATAATTAGCAGAGATATAAGACGACATCCTATCGATGCTTTATCTATGGGTTCTTTCTATTCATACCCTCTCCCTTTTTCACACCTACAAATTGGGAATTTCCTGATACCAAAACCCCATATTGCCTTTTCCTCCAACAATTTCCATAGCGTCCGTGGATTGGGAAATTCCACGGAGCAGCTAAAGCAATCCAAAAATTCATTGACCAAAAACTTTGACAAACAAAAAACGTAACAAAAACAAGAAAAATGTAGACAAAAAAAAAATACAAAAAAATAATGAAAAAATTATAACAAAAATGTCAATAATCACAATTCCAATAGGAGCCAGCAATTTGTCAGAGTGGGCCAATGATAAGTTATCAGAGTAGAGTAGAAGTGGCAGAGAATAGGAGTAGTAATAGTAGGTTGTGGAGGCGTCTCTACCCTGTGGCGTGGACACGGAACATGGAATCCGGCGGATGAATTTGACATTATCTGCCATAAAGATTACCAAAGTTGACTTTGCCTTCGAATCTGCCCCTGTCTCAATGAATGCACGTCATAAAAACGTTTTTATGGTGGTTCACTAAAAGGGGCAGTAGGGGGCCGAGGAGCTCCTTCTACTATATCTCACCCTCCACCAATTTGGGGTCTGCTTTTAGAGGGTCTGCGATTACATTATCTTGGTTTACGTTTACATTTTCATGGGTAGCTCTCTCTCTTTCTTTTCTTTTCCTTGCCACTTCCCCCCCCCCAAGAGAAAAGTGCAACGTCATATTGTGGGGCTGGTTGGAATGGGGGGCTAGGAGGCTTGGAGTTGAAAACTCAACAAGTTCAGGTCGTCCCTCCGCGGTTTATCTTTTATTTGCATTGAAAAATATTTACACAACAGAGCAGATGAACGACACACACAGACGACAAAAATCATCAGGAAGATGATGCGCAGATGGCAAAGATATGATATGATATGACCAACAAGAAGAGTCAACAAATCTCTGGTTTTCGGGTGATAAGACAAAAGATTTATTAGCTCAAGAGGCAGAGAAAAAGAGTCAATGAATGGCTGAGAGGGTGGCTGGATGGGGGAGATGGTTAAACAAACCAGCAACTTTTGAATGATGAAAATTTTGAAATGAAATGTTGAAATCCCCGGATGGAAAATAATGAAGAAATAGAGAGAAAATCAGAGATTTATGAGCGTTTTTGAAACGTGGAAAATCTTTCCTTGATCATCTGTACAATCTCTACAATTTTATGGCTAAATCTTCGTTCCTTTTAGAGCTTCCCGTTCCGATAAAACCCTTGAAAGATGGGCTCTCTTTATGCTATTCTGTATGTTTTAAGTTTTTAGTTGCGATTGAATTATTTGGAGCTTAGGCAATTCGTTTTCCGTGAATCTCTGGCGAACCTCAAAGCTGGAATATCTCTCAACATGCACCACCATTATCCATTATCTATCCATTAATGGACCTCATGGCCATTCTTGAAGGATTTGTATTTGTGCATTTCAATCAAAGTCCTCTCACACCTGAAGGACTCGTTTTTTTTTGTTCTCCCCACCATCAGGACAGCTAATTGAGAAACACTTTGAAACATTTACCACTGACACACCACATCCTGCATACAGCCACCCTCCCCCTCGCCATCCTTTCGTGTTTTCCCTGCAATCCATTTCTACAGTTTGTTGCCACAGTTTCAGAGCAATTAGTTTGAGTGCGATTGGACAAGGCGAATGATGGAAGGTTGTGGGGCATACAACACTCGTCGTACTCGTAAATGCGAAATGCGGAGAAACAGAGAGCGGGAGAGAGCGGGGATGGATGACCCCCTGGGAGTTGAGCAATCGAAGAGCAAGACAATGACAGGGGCACTTAAGACGACTGAGAAAAGGGGAAGAGCATAGCTCTCCTACTGCTTCTGCTTCTGCTTCTGCTCCACAAAGATTGACAGCCATTCCTCAAACTAAAATACAACCCCCCCCAACAAAAGCCACAGGATTCACTCTTCTTCCCTCTCTTTCTCCCTCTCTATCTCTGTCTCTTTCTCTATCTCTCGGTCTCTTTCTCTCTGTCTCTCTGAATGAATGAATGGTTATTCAATTGAATTTGGCTTTTTTCCTGCTGTGTGTTGTGTGTGTGTGGGGGGGGGGAGTGTTTAATATAAAGCAATTTTCCTCTTAAATTCACTTCAATAAACAATTACTTTTTTGTGAGCAGGAACCCCAAAATAGATTACATACATCGCCTATGCACATACATACATCATTCGTACATACATATGTACATCAGGTACATACATATGTGAAGCATCATTACTCCATGTACTCAGGGGACATTCATCATTCAAACTTAGCTAATGAAATTTAATGCGAATCAATGGAAATGCTGAAATATTCTTACATTTCTAAGGATATGTTTCCCCCAACTCGATGTACATTTAATGTAAAAGTGAAAACTGGGCAACTCGACACAGAAAGCATAGTTCTATGGTTCCAGCAACTGGACAATATGGAGGTTATTTCTTGAAAAAGTGGTCCATTCGATTGTTCACAGCATTGACTAAAGAAATGGCAAAATTCAGTGGTCTTCCATTTGGAAATGTCAACTGTAATAATAACGGAGAATTCACACAGATCCCATACAATAATGAGAAGCCCATAGAAGGCCGATGATGGGCAGAAAATGAGAAAAACGAGAAGATGAAAGTAAAGGGAAACAACTGGAAGAAAGAGAAGACTATAGAACAGGAAGAGCAAACGCATAAATAACAGACAACTGGCGTCAGTGGCATCACAAAAAGAGGGGCACAGAATAGGCCATAGAAGAGAAAGCAGGAGAGAGTACGAGAGTACGAGAGTATAGGAGACAGCAGGTTAGAAGATGAATAGAATATGAAATGGGGGCCAGGGAAATGAAGGTAGGGAAGTGAAGCATATTCCTACTGCCAAGGACCATGAAAAGGAAGGTAAGGTACAGCTAATGAAAGGTAGAGCAAGTGGAACTTATGGGACCCATTCAACACACAGAAAAAAAGCGGCAGATAGAGAGCGGCAGAGAGGCAAAGGGGTGCGAGGATAGGTACCCTGCCCCTGCCAGTCCCCAGTCTGCCCCTTACCTTCAATTCTCACATATCTGTTCTAGGCGGTCCCGGCGTCAAGGATAACAAGCGATGCTCGAGAGTCTCCTCCATTGCCTCATTTCCCTCTCGCATTGTGTGAGTGTTCGTGTGTGTGTGTGTGTGTGTGTGCCCGTGCGCCTTGTTGTCTGTGTCTCAAGTGGAAAACTGCGAAATCGTTTAACACGCACCACACACACATACACCCCCCTGCCCAACACTCTCCCACAAACTTGACCCAATTCCTGTGCGTGAATCATTTTTTCCCTCTGTCTGTGCATTTGTGTGTGTGTGTGTCTGTTTGCTTTTCATTCTGGTGAAAAATGTCGTTTATGAAGCGCTTATTGTGTTTGGCTTGTGGTAGCCACTCGCCCTGTCATCCCCCCCTGCCGTTCCTTGCTCTTCCTTCTTGGCCCACACTCCCTCCCTGTGCTTCCGTTTCCGCACTTGAATGGCGTGCGCCACAATGGCTGCTCCCTTGGCCTGTCCTCCATTCCCCACTCCCCACTCCTCTGCCAGTGCCACTCTGCCTCTTCCATGCCACACAGCAATCTCCCATCCAACTGTTGTTTGCGGCATGCGCCGATGCCTTTGTCCAGCTTTTGGTCACACGCATCTCTCTTGAGTTTTGCTCTCGCTTTTCGTATACCCTTCGAAGAGGGATAGATAGAGAGAGAGATGGATGGTGGATGATAGAAGATGGAATAATCTATGAACCCGTAGAATATGCGTCTAGATTCCTGATCTACATCTGGATATCTATAATTCCATTCGATTTAAAGCAAATTTGAAGCCATATCTAGCTGATACTGTAGAATGGATCTTACCTGCTTTTCGTCCATCTTTCTTAGCGATCGATAAGGGTATCTATTCACTTATCCACCCATCTTCGCTCTCCCAAATTCCGTCTTCTTTCTTGCTTTTATCATCATGTGCTTTCTTCTGTCGTTCTTTTCCATTCTTTGTGCCATTCTTCTACGGCTGACAGTTGGGTCCGAAACATTTTACGCATCTTTGGTGTGGATATGGGGATACGGGATGTGGAGGATACTGGCTGCATGGGATGGGGCAGCATGGTGTGTGTGTGTGTGTGTGTGTGTGTGTGTGTGTGTGTGTGTGTGTGTATGGTGGGGTGTACGTGTTTCTCCTCTGTCCACTTTGACAGCAACCGGGAAACGGAAACGGAAATTTTGTGCCCATGCGTTTTCATTCTCCGTGTTGACGACTGCCGGCGTTTTCCTCCAATGAAAAATGGTAGGAGAAAAGCAGAGTGAGCGTGTGGAGTAAGAGAAAAGCGAACACAAAACAGCAGAGTGAAAAGCGGACAGAACTGAAAGCAGAGTGGGGTGTGGCTGATGAGGAGGAGAAGGAGGAGGACAGGACATGTTGGCTTTTGTCCAACACACAAGGCCGGGTGACACACCACCCTGCTCATCCCCATCCCCTCACCCATCCCAAACCACACTCATCCCCCATTTTCAGCATTTTTCCTAGAGCAGGAGAACAAAACTGAAAACTTGCTTTGGTTTTTCCAAAAATTTTTTTTTAAATTTATAAACTTTTGTTTCGATCAAGTTTTGTTCCTTCCTTTTGTTGCGTGATTTGTCGACTGTCAGAGGTGTGGGAGGGGGAGTTTGAAGGAGGGGATATTGGTAGGTGGGGAGGGTGAGCAGCAAGAGGGTGGAGTTGACTGCCACACCGACAAAAAACCAAAGAGAGCTGGTGAGATCTACAAAAAGAATACAAAAACAAATTTTAAAATAAATTAAATTAAATCCGTGAAACGATTTCCAATAAATAGAAAACTTTTACTTTTTTTCTCCTCACATTTCACTTAAACTGTACTGTATTCCCCTTTTTTACACCATATTCCCCTCTATTCATGTTTTCAATCTTTAAAATCCTCCAGTATTTCCTTTATATTCCATCAAACCTCATGAGTTTTGCCGAGTCTGCCAAACCCATTGCAGATTATAGCCACTAATCTCCTTACGCTCCATTCTTATGCCTCTCTTTATCTCTATCCCTATCCCTATACCCCCTATCCCAATCCACTGCTCTATCCCTTGACCAATCTGTCGCCCCGTAAAAAAACACAAACTCCCATCGCATATCAGAAGTTTTTAATAAAATGTAAATTATTCTTCCCTCGTTTTTTTATTTTTATTTTTTTTTGATAAATGTCTATTGGAAAAAGTTTCCTTCTGTTTCTCTGCTTCGGTTTTTGTGTGTGTGTTTCCATGTGCTTTATTGGGGTTTTCTTTGCCTCCTGCCTGCTACTCGTCCTCCCCCTAATGCTCCCAGCTTTTCCTCCTTTTCAGTGTTCCATTTTTTGTCTTCGACTTCTGCTTCTGGTTATTCTTGTGGTTTTTGTGGTTTCGGCAATATTTTATTCATAGTTGACACGAAATGCGTAACAAATCGTTTTGGAGTGGTCTTTCGACTGCAGAGGAAGCGCCCTGGAAGTGGAAATGGAAGTCAAAGACGAAGTCAAATCCGGGGGGCCGCCCCTAACAAAATTTATAGTTTTGGCCTCTCGAACACGTCTCCCCTTTCAAATCAAAAATAAATAAATATTCTCCAGCGACACAGTTTGGTTGGGCTGTGATGGGAGCGACGAGGGGAGAAGATGGGAGGGTGGCAGATGGCTTATAAAAAGCCGAGTAAAAGTGAAATTTGCATAACAGTTTTTTGCTTTGGCGTTCTGGGGGATTCCCCCGTAACGCGTACAGCGTTGGAGGAGCTGCTTTGATGGGGCTCTAATTTCCAGCAATGATTGAGATGATTTATAATTGATTCTTGGGGCTAATCTGGGTAAAGAATTTCCTTTTTGTTTTACTTTACTTTTGCTGCTCTATATTTATGGAAACATCAGCTTTTTCCCCCAAAAATGTTTACTGAGAAAAATTAATAAAAAAAAGGTCAAAACGAGCGGAAAGAATAATTCAAACAAACAAACAAACAAACAAACAAAATAATCTCTTGTTGCAAATCCAATTCCACAAGCCACTCGCTGTCCACTGTGCAAAAAAGTTGCAGCCTTTGCATTTGTCTGCCGCCACAACTTTTTTGTTCGCGCCAAATGCATAAAAGGGGAGACGCAGGAGGGCAGAAGGGAGGCAGTCAAGAAGCGGGAGACTCGCTCCAGACTTTGGTTTCGGGTTTCAGCGCCACTTGCTGCTGTTGCATGCCCCCCCACACCACCCTACGGCTACCGCTGCCTTGCAGACACCCTTTTCGGCAGCGGAGCGGAGTGTTCTTCTCGTAACTTGACATCGAAGGAGCTGCAAATGTGGATACAGACAGGCAGACAGATACAGAGAGAGAGAGAGATAGAGAGAGGGAGAGAGAAAGAGAGAAAGGGGCCACACCGCACGTGCAACGGCAAAAGCAACGTTGCAAGTTTTGTTTTCACGTTGTTGTTGCTGTTGTTTTTTTTTTGGTCATTTTTTGGCGGGAACATTTTATAAACAGGCCTCGGGTCCCCACAGGGTCCAGGGTCCAGACATCGTTTCATATTTATTCACGCCAACGTTGGACAAATAGAGGCGACACCCAGTAGGTGCAGAGTGGAGCGCGCGGGGGGGCAGGCAATGGAGGGGCTAACCATGTCACCATTTTATGAAACCCAAACATTTGGTCGGCTCATGTGAACCCACGCTAATCCATTTTCGCAAAAGCATACAAAAGAAAGGGGTGGTACGGGAGGGAGGGAGCGGGAAGGGCAGAGTGAGAGAGAGATCGGGATAGAAGTAGGGGAGGCGGAGGAGGCTGCAAGGTGGTTGGGTGTGGTGGGGTGTGGTGTGGTGTGTGCTGTTGCAAGGTTAGATGAGTGGGCGGCGGTGGCAGGAGTGGGGCGACCACCAGTGGCAACGGTGGGCGGCGGCAGACATCGTTCGCAAAAGCAAACAGATCAGACGGCGACTGCGGCGTTATCTGACTGAATGACTCTCCTCCGGTGCGAAGCGACGGCGACGGCGACGGCGACAGTTATGTAACGTGAGCGCAATGCACTGAGAGAAATTTATCTAATGATCAAAAAATTAAACTATAGATTAAAGATCATAGCTATATATATCCGTGGGGAACCCAACTTTGGAGACAATATTCATCTAGAGTTTTGGGCTTTCTTTCGTATACTTTTCAATCATTTCCCTTGCTTTCGCTCTACTTGTTTTCGCTCTCCCATCTTTGTCTTTAAGTCTCTGCCCTTCCTGCGTTCCACCCACCATTCTCTCTCTTGCCTTCGTGCTTCTCTTTCTAGTCCCCTTTTTAGTTTCTCTCAGTGCACTGCATACCCCATTTGTCGTCTTAGTTTTCGCTTTGGCAAAATTAGTTTTATGCAAATGCTGAGCACATAAATTTTGCTCCATAAAATTTTGCTATGACGTGTCTGCAGCTGAGGCCTCCAGCGGGCCGGGGCAGCGGCAGGGGCAGGGGCAGGATAGCCAACACAGTACACCACAGAGAGTACGGGGGCAAAGGCAATTGGCCACAAAAACCACTTTCGCCTGTGGCAAAGACAAACGGTTCGATGTTCGATGTTCGATGTGTGTTCGAGTAGTGTGTCTTGAGAGATAAAATCCTTGGCCAGGTGGTCAACCAACAGACATCTGTCTGTGTGGACCGTGGCTGCATAGATGCAGCAGCATCCAGGTGGGCCCACCAGGCACAGGAAATGACTTTAAGAGTACCCACAAGAGGGCGGAAAAGTGTGGCTGCTGAAAAGCTTGGGAAATTCCAATATTTAAATGTGGGACACTTATTGAATTTCCATTTGCGCAAAAAAAAAAAACACTTGGGTTTTGGCCTGAGGCTTAGCTTGGTAGGGTTATTAATGTGTTTATCTCTGAGGATCTTACGTGCCTTTAGAGTTTATTTAGTGGCGTAGAAAGTTTAAAGCCCATGGAAACAATAGATCCTGGGCTAGCAGTCGTTATCATTTTGCCTCTTAATTATGGACCAAACAAGAAATTTACTTATTCCCATGGCAGGGTGTACGTGTACCCCCTGGAGAAGGCACCACCAAGTGAAGACATCAGCTAAAGCCGCCAGGTACATATAGTCCAATGGTTCATAAATCAGTCGAGTCCCATAATTCAATCATAACACCCATTCCCCCGCGTCCACCACACACCATTCCCATTCACAGGTTTTTGCCCCTGCTCCATGGACTAAACGATCGTTTAGCGGCTGTCGGGGAATGCCTGCAAGTGGAACCTGGAGCACGCACACACACGTCCGCAGATAATAACTCAAGAGAGAGAGAGAACTTAAGGGAGTGGGTCTGGACTATGGAATGGGCAGAATGGGAAGTCAATAAGTGGAGTTATGACTACGGACTCCAACTCGGCCTCGGCCTCGGACTTGAATCCGCTCCGCCTGGCCCGTCGACAGCTGAGTTATCGCTTTGTTTACACGCATCCAAAAAAGAAAAACCCCCCGATCCAAGCCGGGGGAATGCAACACCGAGCTGCCGCTGCCGCTGCCGCTGCCGCTGCTGTTGCCGCCACCTCCACCGCCGCGTGTGAATCCGAGGCAGAAACACACGCAACGCGCAACTCGCGCAATGAGCGTCGTCACGTACGCACTTGAGGCCAAAGACGAAGGCGATAGATAGTACCTTCCAAACTCTCCACCTCCTCCATTGCTGAATGGGGCCTCAGCTCCTCCTCCACCTCCCTCTGTTTCGAAACGGGGCATTTCTTTGAAGTTCGGAAGCATTTTCATTCGAACTCTTGTCGAACCGATCACGATTCTCTATCTATCATTTTGATTGAAGTCTTGACTTCCCCTTTTCGTCTACGAGTAATTCCTAATGGAGGGAACTTCCCACCTGCTGAGGAAGGGGATTAGAGTGCTACTAAAGCACAAACACCACACACACACACACACACACACACACACACACACACACCTGAGGGGGCATCCATCAAAGGGATTAAACCTGAAGATTTACCCGGAATTGAGGTCGCTTCCCTCTTTCTCTCTCTCTTCAAGAACTTCCGAATGGAGGAGTAGGTCTGGGAGATTTCTTTATCAGTTGTTGGCTTCTAATCGCGAGGAAACTCTCACTCTCACTCTCTCTTTCTCCCACTGCCGAGGCATGGGAGTGTGTTTCTATTTTTCCAAAATTTCTTTTGGTAATTTTCCATGCCCTTAGATTCTTTTTGGTTTGGTTTGATGTGTGGAAAATTCTATAGCCCAGCCGATAAGGTTGCGTGAAACGGATAAGAATTATGTTACTTTTGAATGGGGCTGCCAGAAATACATACATATGTATGGGTCTTCTACAAGACCCCTCAGACATTTGTTCATTCGGAAACTCAAAGATGAAATTACTTCATAATTCAGCATTACATTAGTTCAGTAGGGAGATTGGAAGATTATAGAATTCTCTGCCACTATTGTACCTTAAAAGAGGAGTCCTTTCTTAGTTCCTGAATTTTCCTGAACTATCAAAATCACATTGAAAACAAAAACTCCCCTTAAATCTCTATCTACTTCACTGGAAATTTAGCCCAATTTCCCATCTGATGACTTCTTATGATGTGGGCCTTAATGGCATTCTTTCGGTGGTACATTTATCACTTGAAGTGTGCCTGAACAAATAGTTCCCCCCAATTATAAAGATTTTGATCTCTAAAAATGTATTTCCCAACAAAACCGAAGCAGAGAGAGAGAGAGAGAGCAGATAACCATTCCAGAATGATCCCAGCGGACATGTGG